AAACAGGCAAGTCAGGGTTCCTCGTAATACATAGTAAGCATAGTCCACATTCTTGACCAGCACTCAATCACCAATGGTCAACACCATTGTAACTAGCTGGCCATAGCACTGCTTTTTACCCAATGGCTTTAAATGCTAGGTCATATGTTCAATGCATATACTCATGTAGGTTCTCCATAGATTTCCAAATATGGCTCCCATCCGAAGTATTTTTACATTCCCTATAAATTCACCAGTTTTCTCATTATCTACCATGCCAAGCAGCTTCATTATAGTGCAGTAGAACTGTTAACAATTTCCATTCCCGTGGGGTGACAGGGTACAGTGACGTTTCAATTCCCACAATCTGATGAGACTCCTCAATGAAATTGCACCCTTCACCATAAGACTGTCAAAAAGTTGTTTTTGCTGTCTGGTTTGTCGTTGGTATTGTCATTACAAACATAGTAAAGTGATTGGTAATCACATGGACAATCTAGCTTGGTAATCACATGGACAATCTAGCTTGGTAATCACATGGACAATCTAGCTTGGTAATCACATGGACAATCTAGCTTGTAATCACATGGACAATCTAGCTTGGTAATCACATGGACAATCTAGCTTGGTAATCACATGGACAATCTAGCTTGGTAATCACATAGACAATCTAGCTTGGTAATCACATGGACAATCTAGCTTGGTAATCACATGGACAATCTAGCTTGGTAATCACATGGACAATCTAGCTTGTAATCACATGGACAATCTAGCTTGGTAATCACATGGACAATCTAGCTTGGTAATCACATGGGCAATCTAGCTTGGTAATCACATGGACAATCTAGCTTTAGGTTCCTAAAGAAGTCACACACCAGTTTTCAATTATGTCTCACATCATGCTGAATCAAGATCCAGAAAAGGTGTATGTTCATGGCATCTAAACTGTCCGCACCTGTGTGGCTGTGAAAAAGTTGAGGGGCCATTATTTCGTACAAGTTACATCAAAAGTTAACCATGACAAATGTATCTCTGCCAGTCTATGCATATGTGACATTAAACATACAAACACACACCACCAGACATTATCAGTATACGGTAAAAGTTTATTGTAGCGAATAGTGATAATTAATATATAATATAATATACAATTATTTCGATCAATATTTAATACATAATGTTGACAGAATAGTAAGCATTTTGTTTGTTTAAGGTAGCAAGTTAGCCTTTCTTGATAACAAAAATGTTGATACTTCTAACCAGAACAATAACAATCAATCAAACTTATTGAAAGCATATACTTCATAAATGAGTATTTAGTTTCTTTCAAATTATCGTTTCTAGTAGAGTAATTGTTTTTTCACAATTTTTAGTGTCACTATATCAATGTCTAGGTGTTCGGTGGGTATGTTTGTGTACAATACATGGTTATATAATTTATTTGAGTGCCTTGCATCTGTGTATAAACTGTTCTATGCAATAATGGAACAAGTCATTGAAAATGTCCCCGTTAAATTTTTGAAAGTTCTTTTTGTACTCGTCATATCAAAGCGGAGATGTTGTCGCGAGCATGTCTTTGAAAATTGAGTCCCAATTGGCAAATACAACAGATTGTTTATCTACATCAAATTCGAACACGTGTTGCGTGACGCCCTTCCGGTTTAAGACATAGCAAAGAAAAACATAGATCACAAGTAAAAGTAAAACAAATTGAGATGCATGTCTATGTTATTGCACTTCCTAAAACTATTTAAAGTATGTTTGTGGATGGGAATGAGGCACTAAAATTACATTACCATACATCTCATAAATATGAATGCTTGTTGCCATGGTGCCCTACAATAAATCTGTACATGGGGATTACAATGTTAAGATATGTGTAATGACGGAATTTGAGATTCTGGGATAGGGAATACAGCAATTGCAACTCTTTGTAATTGTATTGATAGTTCTGGATTAAAGTGGCTAACAGACCCTTTGTACAAGTCAAGCGCCCTCTTGTGTTGAATAATATGGTGAAGGCAGCGTTTTAAAATTTTCAGTTTTAATAAATATCAGTTCAAAATAATACAATTTAACGTTTGTCATGCCTCTAATTCAAATTTACATTGGCGTTGTTGTCAAACAATGGTGATCTATCTGTGAATTACACTTGCCCATCTACATCATAAAATTAAAAAAAACTCCCCACAGTGGGGATAGTTCATCAGTGTATTAGTGTAATACGTCCATATCCCTATAACCATATCTGACTGACGGTCGGTCGGTCGGAGAACATGTATCCTAACATGTATAACCTACGTACCAAATTTGAATGAAACCTGACAAAGCATGTCCAAAATACGACATTTAAAAAAAACAAGATGGCTGCCAGTCGGCAATCAAATCGCCAAACCACTGCATGTGCATTGGTGCCATAGTCAATTTAGACACGTGACATAGGTGGCTTTGGGTGTTATATCTCCAAGTCACACTCATTCAGTTTCTAGAACACTTCAAGCAATTCAAAATGTTCTTTGAAATATCTTGGAAATATATGACAATAGGTTCCAAGTACAATAAACATATGTTTATGTTCAAGTCACCCATACATTACTCTATAGTCCACTGAAATGGAACCTCCATGTTTTTCAACCCGAACTTTGGTAACTAAGCAGTGCTTTGAATGTGGTATATATATCATACTATGGCAATATGTCTATAGCTATTCTCCTAGTCAATCTACTGCTCTCTTATCATCGGTGAGAGAAGCCAACATCTTCTGTAGATGATAGGCACTTTGCATGGCAGTACCACCACAGGTCTCCCAAGGTATGCACTCACCAGTCCTATGTACCTCTCTTACCACGAACTGTGCACGGAATATCACATATCTTACTAGAATTACTTTGGTAGCCTCTCAACCAGTTCGTGCCAGCAACCATCAGAGCTTCAGATGTTAAGAATTATCCAGTATCACCACCACCTTCATACCACAACCCTTGAAGGCTTCTTAGACTGACAATTCAATTTCAGCTATGAACAAAGGTATTAGTATGATCACATTTTAAATTGACAACTCGTTTGATTTGGTGCCCTGTTAAAAATGGGAGAGTGACATGCATATTAAATGGTAACATCATTCTATGTATACAATGTTCATATGAATTTCTCTTACTTAAACTAAGTAGTATAGAATACCTGTCAGTTGTTTAGTTTTCTTTTGCTCTTGTGGATTGTTTTGTCAATCATTGTCGGTCATTTGTTTTGTGCCATTTAACTTGTAAATGACTATTTAGTGAAGTGCACTTGCCAGTTGTTCCGTTCTGGTGGATTTCTCTTGTGTTCTTAGAATGAAAATTTCCTTATATGACTTTTCTCTAAAGACCTAAAGACCAGTTGTGCATGATAGTTCCGTGTGTAGTTTTCGTACATAAAATGCGAAAGGAACATAAATATTATTTTGTATTCATGCATTTATGTTCTCGTTATCAGCATTTGCTGATTGTACATTATATATTAATGGATTAATTTTCAATTGATTTCATTTTCATGTGATCTTCATTGCATGTGCAGAAATCAAGGTGTCCGACAGAAACACCACAATGTAAAACAAAACAAAACATGTAATCAAAACATGCAAAGGCAAAACACGATATGAGGAAAGCCAATTGGTATTTGAATGTACAGTATATAATTATGTAATTTCAGATCTGAATAAAATTTGATGTAGCTAGCTGTCATTAATAATTCCTTGTGCTGGTGAGTAATCACCTCCAACTACATCTGGTCAACTACATGTGAAAATCATGTTCAAGTGGTATCCTTCTGATAGGATTTGTCAATAAATCAGAGTGTGCCTTACCACAAACCGACCTGTAATAATAGTTCTGATTGTTTTCCGTTTCTGTGACTTGCATAGTAATTGGTCAGATGTAGTTAGAGAAAATATGTACCATCGTCGATCAGAACTAACGCCAAAGTCTACACCCATATCACATGATATTCAGATTACTAGTACTACATTTTCTAATTTAATAAACATACTTTTTGTCTGACAGGATTTGTCACATGGTATATTTTAATTCTAGATCTACCTTTATAAGTTAGGGTATAATAGTTAACTGCCATTTAAGGCACAGATGCAGGTTCGTGGGTATTTGGGAGTGAATTTTTTTTTTTTTTTGCTTTTTATTATCCAAGCAGTCTTGGCTATTGACTGTTAAAATTTTGTAGAATTGTGAATAGTGGAGCATACTCCACGATTTTAAAATATAGATAACAGGTGCAAACATTCTCTCTTTTGAATGCTTAGCAAGATTTAGCAAGGCTGTACATAAATAATAAAAAAGAAACATGGTGAAAAAAGAAATGACGGGATCTCCATATTATGCACTTTATTTACCTTTTAACAAAACGATAATACATTTAAATTTGGAACTGTTGCGGCCATTTTAATTATGAGCATTAGAAAACTTCTTACTGAGTGAATTGTTATGCAAATTGGCAATTATCGCCGTCTGGTCATTGTTTTTGGTTGAACAGTGTTACAACAAACGTACAGACAACTAGCCTGGGTGTTAATTTATGCATAAACTAGTGGAATTTGGGATGCTGCCCTGCAAAATTGACAACTGGTAGACAGTTTTCAAGACGGCACTTTCTTCACAGTAAACAGATGTACCTATAAACCAATTTTGACAGGAAACAGAAGCATAGTTTAGAAGCTATTTTTTTTTAAATCACTTTTGACCAAAAAAGCACATTTTTGTGCATATTTCAAACTACAGTGACCATAACAAAAAATACTAACAAAATTTTAAAATTCATACAATAAGCTTTCCGAAAATATATAGTTTTGTGGACAAGGGAGGTCATCTTAGTTTCTTAATTAACTAATTAAAATACCTGTCAGGTAAACTGCATCTCTACCTTAACTGCATTATTTAACTACACGGTATTAAATCCCATGAATGTGTCAGTTTTTTCTGGACGTTGATATTTTATAACATGTACTATGAAAACAAAAATAGCACTTGAAATAACAAAGACAACACTTTATTTCCGAAATAGTTACATTGAAAATAAGCTGAACGCTACATTGTTGCACACAACTATCACAATACAGCGATCAATTGTTAATAAAATACGTTTATTATAGAAAAAACCTGTAAATAAAACATATAAATGGAAGAAGACAGAGATGTAATTTGTAAACAATGCAGCGAAAATAAATTGTATAGCGCCCACTGAATGTATGCATTTTTCCCTTCAAGTTAAAACAGTTATATCATTTACTTATGATTAAAATATTCCACCGTAACCTTTAACCTTGGCTAAATGGTCATGATAATACAATGAAGTCAGATTTCATTACACCATATTAAAATATATACTCAGAGATCGATCAATATGCCATTTACAAAATCCTACATATTGTAAAATTATGATGCATTATTGTGTATATACATTAATAACAGTATCGAGAGGTTTGTGAGAACCGAATAATCAAATTTGTGATTCTGGTTTACATGAATAACATATCAGGGCTTTGTTGGTTTGGGATGTCACCATCAGTTTTTCTATATGGACCTTGAAATATGAATGTATCGTCATCAGTCTTGTCCACATCAATTTTCTGGATGTCATGGTAACCATATTCTTTATTTTCTCCAAATAATTCCGTCTCAATGCCTGTAGAAGCAGGCAATCGCATCTCATCATCATTGATCTTTTCGGTTTCTAGTGTATCCACTTCTTCCAAAAGTTTGTTTACGTTGATTTCTCCTACTTTATATTCGCTCATCCCTGCATTCTCTCCGTGAATCGATTCATCCGGGTTATATGGGTTTGAATTAGACCCAAATTCGTTGAGTTCAGTGTATTGTTCATCGCCTGTTGGACGTTGAGCATGGTCATTATTTTGTGGTACAATTTCTAAATTTTCAGGAATTTCGGAGTGATATTCATTTTGTGTGTCATCAACAGGGACATTTTGTTGGTATGAGGCAGATGGCATGTCATTAATGCGAACAGGAGTGCCGATGTTATCTTGATAGCCTACATTGTTTTCATTTAATGTATCAATCATTCCAGGAACACTCTGTTGGTAAGGAACAGGTGCAATTTCTACATTTTGTCCAAACTGGTCCTCATTCTGCGTGCCAATATTTGTTTGATATTGATCAATGGGAACTTCATTAGCTTGGCCATAATTTGTAATCGTTTCGTGTGAGCTTTCAAACTGGCTTTCGCTTATCGTACCTACATCGTTTTGGTAAGATTCTAGTTCAATGTTACTCACAGGTTTAAAGTTTTCTTGGATACTTTCATAGGAATTATCTTTAAGCGTGTCAATAATTGGAACATTTTGTTGGTAAGGGATGGGTTGACTTACAGGTGGGATAGCTTCTTGGATACTTTCATAGGAATTATCTTTAAGCGTGTCAATAATTGGAACATTTTGTTGGTAAGGGATGGGTTGACTTCCATATGTTTGACTTGCAGGTGGAATAGCTTCTTGGAGATTTTCATAGGAATTAGCCTTAAGTGGATCAATAATTGGAACATTTTGTTGGTAAGTGACGGGTTGACTTTCATATGTTTGACTTGCAGGTGGGATAGCTTCTTGGAGATTTTCATAGGAATTATCCTTAAGTGGGTCAATAATTGGAACATTTTGTTGGTAAGGGACGGGTTGACTTTCATATGTTTGACTTGCAGGTGGGATAGCTTCTTGGAGATTTTCATAGGAATTATCCTTAAGTGGGTCAATAATTGGAACATTTTGTTGGTAAGGGATGGGTTGACTTTCATATGTTTGACTTGCAGGTGGGATAGCTTCTTGGAGATTTTCATAGGAATTATCCTTAAGTGGGTCAATAATTGGAACATTTTGTTGGTAAGGGATGGGTTGACTTTCATATGTTTGACCTGCAGGTGGGATAGCTTCTTGGATACTTTCATAGGAATTATCTTTATGCGGGTCAATAATTGGAACATTTTGTTGGTAAGGGACAGGTTGACTTTCATATGTTTGACCTGCAGGTGGGATTGCTTCTTGGATACTTTCATAGGAATTATCTTTATGCGGGTCAATAATTGGAACATTTTGTTGGTAAGGGACGGGTTGACTTTCATATGTTTGACCTGCAGGTGGGATAGCTTCTTGGATACTTTCATAGGAATTATCTTTAAGCTTGTCAATAATTGGAACATTATGTTGGTAAGGGACGGGTTGACTTTCATATGTTTGACCTGCAGGTGGGATAGCTTCTTGGAGATTTTCATAGGAATTATCCTTAAGCGGGTCAATAATTGGAACATTTTGTTGGTCAGAGGCGGGCTGATTTTCATACCGAATTTCGTTGAATTCCATAACATTTGGTGCATTGTCTATAGAAGGGTTGTATAAAGATGGATTTTCACGAATTTCACCAGAAGTCACAATATTCTGTTGGTAATGATCTTGAATAGCTGTGTTAAACTGCACATTTGACGTTACATCCTCAACCTTATTTACTGAGCTTTCACTAGAGTCCTTGTATGTCTCAAAAATATCCTTCTGCATTTGCTTTAAGCTTGCTAGTTCTTCTTCAAGATGTTTCCCATCATCATCATCATCTATAGGATTAGTTTGAATGTCAGTTAAGTAACTGTCAACATCGCCATCTTCATCATCAGCCCAACTGCTCTCCGAGTCCCAGCTACTTGCCATCGATTCGCCTGCATCATTGTCGCCATTATCTGGATCATAATCTTCTTCTTCTTCACTAGAAAGGTCTTCAGTGTTTTCAAAATCATCATCTTGCTCTTCTTCGGTGTTTTCTTTTTCTTGAACCGATATGTATGCGTTTACTTGTGGATTCTGCATAGTGACGTCATTGATGGTGGTATCATGCCCCTCATTGTGGTTGGATGTATCTGTGACAGTCACCCTCTTGCACACAGTGTCACTGAAAAAGGCACTAAAAGAACAAAATAGTCAAGACATTAGTTCCATATAATTGGGAAGAACATTCAAAAGTGTATTTGGCGGATAAATAATCTAGGCAGATGATCTTTAATTATTTCAAAATTATTTGTATTATTGTAGAAACTCTCTTTCATGAATGGACTACTCAGATTGATATATGCCATGTATTGTCCGACGCTACTGCAAGGCAGTATATGCTCAATCTTATCACCTGATATCTCTCCTTGATCTTAACTTTGAGGTCCATATATCATTCTTTTGTATATTGATTTTTGTGAAATCTCCAAAACTGATCATTTCCTTTCGTGTACCACAAAAATGTCTGTAATGCTGTACACATTAACTTATGTGTGTACTTTGTTCCATTGTTATAGATATATGTCCATTGTACTTTGTTGACTATGGGTTTTGGATTAATTGATGGGTATATCAGGGCTACTTATTATACCATAATGCAAAATTGGTACTCTGACTCAGCCTGGGAATCTGCATTGTATATCATATTGTAATGTTTCTTGCCAAGACAGGAACTGGCGCTCTGATTCAGCCTGGGAATCTGTATTGTATATCATTCTGTAATGTTTCTTGCCAAGACAGGAACTGGCGCTCTGATTCAGCCTGGGAATCTGTATTGTATATCATTCTGTAATGTTTCTTGCCAAGACAGGAACTGGCGCTTTGTTTCAGCCTGGGAATCTGTATTGTATATCATACTGTTATGTTCTTTTACCTGGACAGAAGCTGACACTAGGTCTCAGCCTAGGAATCTTTATAGTATATATTACTGTAATGTTTCTTACCTCGATAAGGGCTGGCATTCTAACCCAGCAACGCAGGGACATTCACTGGGAGGTGTATTGATGATATTCGTGAAAAAAGATTCTCGTCCACGACTACAAGTCATTCCTTGTTCTCCCCTTGCCTTGCAAACTGTTGTCTGTAGACCTGTAGAGAAAAAACATTATTAATTTATAAACAACATACGAAGGTAATTAAGGCCACAGTGTGCGTGTAGCATTTGAGGAGAACGAAACCAGCCAATCAAAATGTCCACGCAATAAAAATTGCTAGCCCTTAATCTAAAGTTCCAAGAAGCAGTACAGTAGATTAATTCAATTTCGCTGTTGTTGTCGATTACCCACCTGGTTCGTAAGCACAGCACATATTATCTAAACAGTCACGGTCCTCATCACAGAATGTGCCAGAGTCTCCGGGGATAATGTCGGCATGGCAACGACCGAAGACGCACAGACTTCCGGGGCAGCACTCTGCGTCTCTGTTACATATCTCGTCTTCACCCATGCATCCTGCACACTCATTGGGCCAAAACCAGAAACCCATGTTGTCACAGAATTCGTTATCAGCACAATCGTTGTCATCCACACAGTCAGCCTGCATTAAAATGACACAAGTTACCCAGTTCCAGTTCATGTTGACTATATACACACATTGTATTTGAGCTATACAGCTAAATAACATCGTTCAATGTGAATTTGTGTTTGTCAAGCAAACTAAATGTCATTCTCGAAAGTGGACTGACGTAGTAGATGTAGTACAGCTTTACAAAACGCACTACAACACACATGTTTCAGCTCGTTCAACAAAAACTAATACAAATGCTGTTACTGAAGGGTTTGCAATCACAGCTTTTTTTAGAAATTTCGCTTAAAGTGTTACTACTCCAAGCATTACCAATACACTACTGAACTGGTTCCATTAGTGGCGCGAAAACTGAAATTCCTTTTGACTATATGATTTACTGAATTTACCACGCAAGTGAACCAATCTTAACTTCTAGACTGAACGAAGATTTCACGTTAGGTTAAAATGTACCAGAGACGTAAATATTGTAGAGCTGCTTTTGTTGATTTTGAATGTGACCAAAACAATCTTGAAATGAATACGAGCTTCAATTGGGAGCAAGTGTAAATTTATAAGTATTTTAATATAGCCTGTATTCTTGGGGGCGGAGCTGCGTCACAGAACGTTCCACGTTGCTAAGACGCGCGCCGCTGTACCATGTATTTCTATGGGCCCTGTGCGAGCTGCTAAGGAACGCCGGACGAGAAGCCGATGAAAACAACTAAAGTCGGGGAAAGAGCACAAACTCAACTTTGAAATAATCCTGAGCAACCAAGGGTATATATGTAGTAATTGTAGGGATAATCTACCCCCAAAGTAAGTTTTCTATGAGTTGTTGGCATTTGTTAACCGTGATGATTGCGGATGTCTGCCCTGTAAATAATGTGAGAATATGACATGGTTGAAAATTTACTAACCCAGTGGAAACACGGATATATGCAAAACTCAATTCTTTTGCGGATACGTTCGAAACTTTACCAGCATTTGATGTTGACACTCACCAGTATAGATGCATATATGTATTACGTGCATACGATATTTACAATGTACCCGTTAGGCATTTCTCATAATCAACTGTTAACGGTGATGGCGCACCTAATTTGAACAGCGCCATCACATGATGATAACATACCTTTTCGTCCATCCACTCAGATGATGAAGACATAAATTCATCCATTGAACTCGAAGTGTCGTCTTCTTCTTCCTGAATAAACTCATCGAATTCCAGTCTGCTATCAATATCCGACTCTTTCGCTTTGCTGTCACTTCCTAATAGATTCGTTGTCGTGAAGACAGCCAGACCAGCACTGTTGTTTACCGTCAACTTAACAACTGTTGTATTTTTCTGCATCAGCATACCGCCCATTTTCACAATTTCCGAAGTTGTATTTGTGTAATTCGGTGGCAGCAATTCAACATTTCTTATCTTAGGGTCAGACACTGTGTACAAAGTGAGAATAATACAACGTTCAAATCAAAATATTTATATAATATTATACCCCAATATTTCTTATATGTTCTCAAACTGGTGAGGTGCAAAACAGTATGACTGTATTTTATAACATTTGTTTTCTATTATCGGAGTCGTTACCGTTGTAGTAAAAACACTTATATTTATCTTACGTAATATTATCCTTTGATCAAATAATGACGCAAAATAATTATGTCTTATGTCTGATCGATTGGTTTCGTTTTCGTTCATAAATTCCTCTCTCATATATGGAAGCACTTTGCTGACACACTTTTATCTTGACATTTCAAAGTGTATACACTGCTACAATATATTGCATAAATAAATTAATAACATGAACCCTTCCTTCTTGTGCAACTAAAGAGATAATACGCAACTATTTGATACTTCTTTCGGTGCACATAGACAATGAATGGCGGTGTGGAGTTGGAACTAGCCATCGATAATTGGGGTGACGATGCTCATATACGCACAAATACAGCACATTCAGCACTGGGTATTTGGCTCGAGTGAGCATTACTAAGCAATAACATGTGTTCATCCATGCATCGCCATGGTAACAATTCAAAAGTGGCGTACTATTTGACACATGTTACAAATTCCCAAATCTGTGTAGTTTATTGGTGTTTGAATTATTGACAAAATGAGTACAAAACGGATCTCAACAAGGTGAATTACGTAAGATAATTTTCTAAAATTGAAAATTACACAACCGACAACAAGAATTCACAAAATACTGATATACCAAATACGGTGAACGGATGAAAAATACTCGTCTCAGTGAATAGAATTGCTTAATTAGTTACTATCCTAATTTGGCAATTACGCCTTTATTTCTAGTCATAATAACACTAAAATAAATGATGACGCCATTTTGTTTGACAGCGTGATAATCATAAATATGACACCAGATTAAGGCCACCTGTTGCAACCAGCTAGCCGAGATTTGCTGACGTCACGTTGAAGCACGATAATTATAACAAATATATTTCATTGACCTGCATGTTAGAGGAATTTTATAGATAAAATAAAAACCGCATGTATATTTACCCAATTTTAGGTATATGGCTCTTGTGGGCAACAAACTGATATGAATTCTATGTCCATACGTGCAACATTTAGTTTATCGTGGTATGTTGTGATGAATAAATGTTGGGTAATTATGTGTAGACCAACTGTGTATTATTTGTATTTTATTAAATCGGTACAGATTTGGTGAATACATTTATTTGTTGTTGTTCCGCCATTTTGTTCTTGGAGCACATGTGTGACTAGACCGCCATGACCGCCAGCAAAAAAAACAACACGGCTCCTACTGATTTCCGATAGTCGCAAAATGTGCCAGTCAAATACTCGATTGCTAATTCAATTTATTTGAACTCCAATTTTGACCAACCACTCCAACATTTTGTAAGTTTTAAAAATGTTATGTCGAGGAATTTCTTAATATTGAATATTGAACAAATTTGGATTGGATTGTTTGTGATAATTCCGAATCATCTTTCTCGTCCTTCAGTCGTGGTTTCGGAAATACTAGTATGTTAAAAAGCAGGATTCACTGGAAATAATCCACGAACTGCTGCACTATTCAACTTGAATATCTATCCGAGCTCGGCAATGCTGACCTCGATGTCACACCTAACCAGAACCTCTGCTAACCATGTTTACTGTGCACATGGTGTCGCAGATATTATAGAATTGTTTGAACCCTTTATACGCCAAATTCGACTTCGGTTTGGTCCACACTTACAGGAAAATACTTACAATTGTGCCAAAATATTGTGCTCCAATATTTTGAATAGAACAAATCGTTTAAAATATCAAATGAAATGTGTTTGCTTGCTACTCCCGCCATTTCACGCAAAATAGTTCACTAACACACACTCGCTACAGTCACACACGGATCTGTTGGTGTAGACTGTGCAAATTTTATGTCAATTCTCCGAGTAAATTTTTACAAGACAAATCAAAAATTTGGTACCAATATTTTAGCTTTGTGGCGACAATATTAGATTGCTGGAATCTCCGTCAAAACCCATTGTCTATGAACAATATTCGACAGCGAAAAAACGCAACAAAAATGGTGAAATGAACAATAACATTTACGTGGCAGACCTCGGATGGCGGGCAACAGCTATAGTCTGTTCTTGGCCGAACAAATTTGTAAATAGAAGGAGTAATAGTTTTGATTAAACTCCAGTTCTTTTCCAATTTTTCATAATTATGAACACATACAAATACCACAACTAAGAATATATACTGGCGACAGAGATGAGATTTTACAAACAATGGTAAATCTCGTGAACAACACAATTCCTACCTTTTCCTTCTTCATGAAACGACTGCAATTTTCCGTACATAGATTGTAAATTATCAATTAACTTGTCGAATCTGTCTTCTCTCTTCTCCCCGATATTATCCATGTTTTGAAACGCATTATTTGCTAGTTGTACTTGCTGATAGTAATTGGGAAAGGCGTAAATGACACCAAAAAAGAGAGTTATTAAGATGACGCATCGCATATTGGTAACAATATTCCTAACTACATACAATATAACTGGTTGTCGTGACTTCGATTTGATTGCCAGGCCCGCAATGATGTGTTGTTGTATAGCCCGATGTTGCATTAATGATGTCGTCAGTTTGAGTTTTGTTCTAGAAAAAGCTCAATTGACTCCCTAGCCAGGACTTATTTTGTATGAACATCAAACCAAAAATTGAACCACGGACTACTGCATATCATTAATTAGCTAATCATTGCAATGAATGCACCAATTACGATGATGAATTTTTAAATTTATTTCTAGTTGCTGATGCCGCATTGCAAACGATAAATTATCTAATCTTGTCCCGGTTAAGATTTACGATTAAAAAAGAGTTGTTTGATATTCTATGATGTTCAAAAATTATTTAGTCAGCGCCTTTGTGGGTTTTTTTTTCCAGATTTTAGGAAGTAACACAAACAAGTCGTGCACTAACAAAAAAACAATCATTCTGTTGTTGGCCCAATAAATACACCACTCGACGATGAATATTTTTAAAATTTACACAACACATTAAATTCAACAACATAAAAGAAATCGACACATTAGTTTCATATATTTTCTTCAAAGTATCGATATACGTGGCGAGATGTTTTACACATTTTGAATTTCTAGTAAAAACGTACCACCAGCAATGTTGCAATAATTCGAATTATGTTACACTCGTTTACCTAGGGAGTTGTGATTCAACCTGGCACAACCTGTTACCTGATTTGAATAAAATATTATAATCCTTTGAAACAATAAGAAAGTCGTCACAACATGTCGCAATAAGTTGAATGAGTGTCGACAATTGTTTATTAATATGCATCATTTCAAAATTACTGTCATATTACTTGACGACAGTGTCACCCAATAATACTGTGCGTTATAATGACCATGACGAATAATTTGCGTTTTATTCGTATTCCAATACCAGCTGTAACCCGTTTGAGCAGGTCAATGTCTGAATATAACCGGTTGTGAATCACTAATTCATCATGGTGGCTCACATGTAAATATCCACATCGCCAGCCATAAATGATAAACTCATGTTGGTTGCAGCTGGATCAACACACTGTTGTGTCGCGTATTTACAGAAAATTAACAACTTGAAACATCGTCGTCTGTATGTATGTCTACTAGTCAGATCGGCATTTAAATAAAGAATATGAGTACTATAATTCATAGTCTGACCGTTTGTAGATGCCATAAAAACAACACAATTAATACACAGGCATGGAAAACCAAAATGTTGTTTTAACAAAATATTAACATTACGGAGACGAATCATAAAAAAACAAACAAATATAAAACAATCTGTATAGAGGTTGATATTTTAATATTTGTTATCGTGGTGTTTTAATATTTAGTGTCAAACGTTGATAGAATCGTAGAAATATGACATCACAGTACTATCGACAGTATCAACGCTTTAAGCTGAACGTGAATTGCGTCATGTGGACGTGTTAGTTGTCGTGTTAGTTACCCAGATATAATGAATGAGGCTTTGGCTCTAGATTGATAATTTTAATTCCTAAATATCACCCTGTGACACGAAACGCGCACATATAACGACATAAATAATGATATAATACTTTACTGTCGGCTTATCAACAAGTAAACCGGTTGTAGACAAAATAAATGTGCATATTAATAATAACAAATCGAAAAGAGGCTTACTGGCCACGCCAGTTAAAATCAGTGAAGGATAAACACAATGCATGCTGCGATGACGTCATTGTTATCAGGTGACATACGTCTATCCTCCTAAGAATTCACATTTTTATAATCAAAACCTTTGTGATACAACTTTAACGTGAAAACGGGTGAAAACAATTCGGAAAATGGGAACACACATAAGACAACATTTTAGCGGGGAAAATGTGAGAATTAATGTAGAAAATCAATTACTGCGGGATGGTTACATATTCTCTCACGGAGAGTCTGTGGAGATAAATATTATTGTTAAAATTAATAAATAAATAAATAATAATGTTCAGCATTTTGTCAACAACTAATCACAAGACTGGTTACGAACCACATCGAGGTCACGACTCGATTAGCCTTGCTCAACTGGTTCGTAACCAGTCTTGTGATTGGTTGACAAAATGCTGAACAGGCCACGCCTCCAACTGTGCCGTGCGTTCGGGCAAATCGTTAGGAATTCCTAAATGGAGTCAATTTGTGTAGTTTTCTTGATTTATTCTGCAGATATCGGTAAAATATTGATAAGACTTTGACGAAATGTGAAAGAGCAACTAATAATCTTCAACCTGGTATTTTTTATAGATTTTATTTTTCATTCTTTTCGTCTGATTTTTCGAGTTTAAAAAATGTGAGCTGGCAGGAGCCTTCATCCCTTGTCTATTTCTTACACCAAATACCAGCCGATACCCCCCCCCCCCGCTCATAGGAAGTGCGTACAGTTGATTATAGTTCCTGGGCTCCCTGTGATTCTACCTTATGCGGAATTGCGATTTCCAAATATGGAATGATTACACTAAAGCCAACAAAGCTGACAAAATACAGTCACAAATTTAGACATCAAATATCCACAGAAACTAAGTAAAATGAAAAACTGCTGAAACTAATGCAGAACCTACCAGGTTAATAAGGTATATCGGAGAAATATGAGATGTACTCGTACTACTTACTACATGCGACACAACGAAAACAGAAAAAAATACTTACGTAGTAAGCAACTTTAAACATGGGAAACTTCAATAAACAATGTCTACTGAGTATCAATAAATTACTTCAAACGTCTAAAGACATAACACAATATTGTCATGAATTTGTTTTCGCGTATCTGTTGACCGACTTAATTAGCTGATTATTAGCTGAATTGCTGTGTTATGTCTGTCGTCGTTTAGGCCTATTTGAAGTTTTGGACGGAACTTGGCTCAGTGATTTGGAACTAATTACGAGATAACCGCCGCTATTTAGACTTCTCATTTTGACAGTTGGTATCCGTAGTTATTAATGTAGTGAACGATTAATCAAAAGATATGACGTATTCAGTGCTTAGTGTGATTGGCTTTATGATTGAAGGTTACGCCCTAGAGTCTTTTTACTGCATTGTAATTGGTTAGAGTTTTGAAAATGAATAAAGTTGTTTTAGTTGGTCTTAGGGAGCACAGCACGATAGACTAGACGCAGTCTAAGTCGAGTGCAGTCCTGGAGATCCTTGGGGCGAGTGTTGACGCAGTCTAAGAGAGTCTTGGGTCAGCCTTGCGATAGTCTTGGGGATTTTTCCCCAGGGCGCTGTGTCTTATAGAGTGCTCGATTGACCGACTAAGACGAGAGCTGAAACGTATTTCGTTGTGTGTGTCTTATTTGACTGTAAAGTATAAGTGACTTCCCCGATCCCGTACCTCGAGGGGACGAGATATAGAGACGAGACGAGATCCCCCCTGGCGAGTGTGGAGAGCCCAGAGAGAAGATTTTCCCCCTGATAATATCACAAATCTGACGAATGAACAACAGTATTACTACTGAACCCAATCAAATAGGATTATTTTTACAGATTGAACCTATATATTTCGCTTTTGTGAATACTGACGCTGTCTTTTGAGCAGTAGGAAACAAATGTGTTGTGGAATTTTCCCTCCAATAACAAGCTCAATAATGAAATACACAGAACTCTCCTTACATATTCCTTAGCTTTGTACAGTAAACCTGATGGTGTCTAAAGCCCATATGAACAGTATTGTAGAACTAGCAGGCGCCTTGTTCAGTCATAATAGTACCACACGCCCTGATCAATGTATGTTGTATCGTGAATGTAGATAGGTACATATGCCTTATTTATGTGAACTCTGATTCTTAAATCTAATTAGTCTATGCAGACTGAGTTCAGTGGAAAAAAATCTTTG